TTATGTATTTAATTCTATCTTACCATGTTTTATTTCATAGCTTGATAAAGACTTATAGTCGAAAGTACTCGCTAACTCTGAAAATAAATTTTGTGGCATATATCTGATACCATCTGACTCGTTATTTACTGTATGTATATTTGCCTATACAGCATCACCTTTATTTTATATATATATATATATATATATGTATATATATATATAAAGTACTCATATCTGATGACCTATGAACTACCTTCATTATTCAATGTTTGTTTCCAAATTGATTGAAATGAATAGATAAAATGCTGGATTGAAATATATTGATATCTAAAATATAATAATAACAAGAAATAACCAACCAAAATCTAGCAAAGGAATTATTCGCTATTTTTCAAATAGATATTTCTTCCCCAAGACTTACGAAAGTACAAGTGTATGACGTCATAATGCCCCTATCTAAAAAAAAAATCAGCCTAAAAACCCATTATATTTTTGGAATACTATGGACAATACTTTATTGCCTGATCGAAATTAACTAACCACAAGGCACTTACTGGCACTAAGGTTATTATTAAATAAGAAGTATAGTCCCTACACTAATTGGAAATGCTTATAAAACTGTATCCGGTTGCATAATATTGTTATAGGGGTAGTGGCTACTTCAAAGACGTATTTTATGAAGAAATGTTACACATCTGAATAATAGTAGAACAAAAGATCGCCCAGATATAACATTACAATTGACACCAATATGCTATTGCTATACGTATGTTTCTATTCATTGACCTATATTTTGTATAATGCCAAATCTAGTTTACTATCCTGTTTCTGTGTATTAGTCCTATGCTTTCTATTGACGAAGGTCTACTAATTGGTTTTATATCTATTTTTTATATCCAATGTTTCAAGTTGTTTTGTAACATTATCACACATAAATATTCAAATGGTATCAAAGTGTTTCATTAATATAGCTAATGTGCGCACAATGTTGACTTTATCTTACATGAAATAATAATAATAATAATAATAATAATAATAATAATAATAATAATAATAATAATAATTCTGTTGAAAGACGGTAGCCTAATTGTTTCCGAACCTGCTGATGCCTAACCAAATGCTTGGATTCTTGTGAATAGTTGATATTTATGTCTTTATGAACTGCTTTTAACAAAAAGGTACTAGGCCAAATGCCAATAAGTTGTGTCTATCATTGGCAAATACACTACAACTTAATACAATCAAGATCAATTGGAAGGAAGAGAAACATATTAACATTTCCATTTGGCCAATAGTAATTATTTTGCGTTGATGAGTTACATAATCCTTAGTCTTAACTTGTTGGAAAACCTGCAACAGCATATCAAACGAATATACCCAAAGAAAATACAGTTGTTCAATTAACAATTCTTCCTGATGATGCAAGTGGGCCTATAGCATAGCTTCTGGCTTGACTGAAAACATTTCCATGACCATGCATATTGCCAAGCATAAAAATCCCAATTATAATTTGAGTATATGTTTTCAAGTTTCTAAAATTATTAGATGTTTCCTTTTCATAATATTTAACTTCTATTTATTTACAAATGGTAACGTTATTTTAAGTGTTTGAAATTAAGTGGTGATTGTTTCATATGTTACTTTCAAAGGGGTTTAACGTAGTAGTGTTGATGAAAGTATTGCATTCCTTTTTCTGTTTAAGTATTATTTTACGTATTTAGAATATTTATTTATTTAATTTTTTTAACGTTTTTTTTACATTTTTACATTGTTGCTTTTTCTGCTTTTAATGTTTTCATTTACATTTATTAAAAAGTTTTCTTTTTAATTATTGAATAATTAAGTCATTTATATTATTGTGCTTTGAATAAGTCATCAAATGTGTTGAAACAGTTCTTATATTTTACATTTTAGCTTTTTTTTTTTTAGCTATTTTGGAAGTATTTGCTTCATAGTTTTTGCTTTTTATAAAATAAATTTTATGTAAAAAAAAAAATTTTGTAAAGAAAAGAACTTTTATGTAAAGAAAATCGTGTAAAGTAAATTTATATTATGTAAAGAAAGGGTGTGAGTGTGTCATTTCGGTATCCTCCCAGTTGGTCGAAATCCAGTTTGTCGAAACCCGGTTTACCGAATTTAACCCACTTTGCCGAATCCAGTTCACCAAAAACATGAAATCCCAGTTGGCCGAAACCCAGTTTGCCGAACCCCGTTTGCCGAATTTGAATTTTGTAGTCACCGTCGTACAAAAGCATAGCACACTACCATTTTGAAATAAAATGTAATAAACAGCAATTATAGGCGACATCGCGACCTAACTATTTTGAACCAAATGTAATAACGATAATTATTGTAGGCAAAAACGAATGTAAACTTAACAACCGCAAAAAAATAGTTAAAGACCATCAAAAATGCTTCCTGTTGCTCACCACTTTAATTTACCAAACCATACTATCAGTAATTAGGCTTTATAATCTTAGGCACCAATTTCAAATCTACTAAGGCTAGAGGACTGGACGCATACCCCCGAGACATCTACTAGCATTAGTATCTGAAATTGGTGCCCAAGATTAACTAGCCTAAATCACTAATAGTATGGCTCTTTAATTTGAAATAGTGAGCAATAGGGAAGCCTTTTGAAGCCCTCTAAAAATACATGTTTCACTATTCCAGCCTAAAAATATATTCTTCATACTGTATAATGTTTTGAGGCATCTACTGATTGATGCCCCAAAACGTTTGTTTTTACCATAAAACGTTACGGCCACTCTACACTTTTGCTTTATGCGTTTTATTACTATAATTTATTAATGTATATAAATATATATGTATATATATATATGTATGTGTATGCATTTTTTGTTGTATATGTATGCGTATATATGTATGCGTGTATATGTATGTATTTGTATGTATATATGTGTGTGTATGTATGTGTACATATGTGCGTGTGTATATATATATATATATAAATGTGTATATGTGTGTGTATATATATGCGTGTGTGTATATATATGTGTATATATACATATATTTGTGTGTGTATATATATATGCGAGTATGTGTGTGTATGTGTATATATGTATGTGTGCGTATATGTGCGTGTGTGTATATGTATGTGTGTGTATATATATATATGAGTGTATATATATGTATGTGTGTATATGTATGTATGTGTGTATATGTGTGTGTGTATATGTATGTATGTATATATATATGTATGTGTGTATATATATATATATAAATCAAGATAGCCGTTAACACTGTTAAATTATATAATCATCATCAAAGAAGGGTAAATACAGTGCTAGAAATAAGGACATAATGTCCTTATTTCTAACACTGTATTTACCTTTCTTTGATGATGATGATTATATAATAATTATATATTATTATATATTATAATATATTATTATTATATTATATATTATTATTACTATATTATATTATTATTATTATTATTATTATTTGGATATATAGCTGTAGCAGCCGAAAAGCATGTTTACTCTAGATTATATAACATGTTAATGACCCATTGTATAGTGTATCATATAAAAAAATACGTCTATACAATTTCTCAAAAATTATAAATCGAAGTCTACAATAACCATCATCTGTCGTCCATATAGACAGGTATCAATGTATTCATGAAAGTAAAAAATCAAATAAAGCATTAATGATCATTATTAATAATTTTATTTAATTTGAGGTGTTGTTCATGACCCATTGTAGAGGGTGTCATATGAAAGCCTCAACCTATGCCATTCTTCAGAAATTATAATAAAACGGACTACTATAACAACCATAATCTACTGTCCATAGACAGTTAGCATTTTATTTATTCATGAAGGCTAAGCATCACATATTGATAATGTGAAACACTTAATATTAATATGATGTACTTTGTAGGCGTCTATACACCTACATAGAGCCAATGCCGTAGCCAGTTGTTGGGATAGTCCCACACAATTTTTCTATTGGGTCCACAAAGAATGGGTCCACATTTTAAAATTGGGTCCAGATTTCTCATATTTTGTGTAAAATTGGTAAATTTTTAAGAAAATGGGACCAGATTATTCATATTTTTTACGTAAAATGGGACAACTTCTAAGAAAATGGGTCCACATTATTTGAGTTTACGCGTAAAGTGGGTCCATCCTGATATTGTCCCACAATATTCAAAAATCCTGGCTACGGCATTGCATAGAGCGCATACAGATCTTTCCTGATCCATGGGTAGCTTGCAATATCTCAAAAATCATTGCTTCACTCAGAATTTATTTTAGAACATCTGAATCGATGTGTTCTGATGGCCCTTTTAACCATGAGGCTTGTTCAGCTTGTATAGTACATGTACAAAAATTGTGAAAGTCTACAAGAATGCCTAATTTTAAAGGGTTTCACACCCCTGCACCTTGATCGACCAGCTACAGCTATCAAGGTTGCCACATACTGTACAATAGAACATAAATAACACTCCAAAATTTGGTATTCTAAGTGTCTAAACAAATGTACATTCCAAATAATTTTCAAACATAATTTGTTCACACATATGTATAGTCATCCTATAAATTCAATATGGGGAAAAATGTTTTGTTCATTTCTTTCTTTTTTTCTATGCTTTGGAGATTCTCTCTATACTCCCTCCCTACAATGTCTCCCAGGTCAACACAAGCTTCTTCAATTGTTCATTACTACAATTGTTACTAGACCTACCGTACTTTCCACACTTTATCTCACTATAACTCATTTATTCCCACAAGTTCTGTTCTTTGGAATAAACTTCCACCACAGGTTTCCCAAATTCAACATTTGAACTTAATTTATTTAATTTAATTTTTTTGTTGTATAATTAATGTAGGTAACCCGAAACATGTCTTCCATTAAAACTTTTGTGTTATTTTTAAAATGAGTTGTATTTTTTGTCAACTTACATCCATTTGGTTCTATTATCAAGGATTTCAGTTCAAGAAGATTACCAGTTTCTTTATTAAGAAAATATGAAAAGATTACTCTTCATTTGAACAAAGCTGAATTGGATTTTAATTTTTTACATAATTAATGTACAGTAAGTCATATTTATATTTAAGTTTTCAACATTTTTATCTGAGTTTTTTTTTATACCAATAAATAAAAAACTCAATATCAATCGCAACAATCTACTCTCTCTTTCTAAATTTTTCTTTGCCTGGACTAGTTATAGACTTCAACTTTTCTAGGAATCGCATATTAAAAAACATTATGAAATATCCTTGCTTGTAATTTATATTGTGACATTGTACTTAATTGAATTTAAGATGAATTTTAAAGAGATAGTCAAATCTGTACAGGCCAGAACACTCTTTAGCATATGGCCCAGACTGTGCAACACTGTAGGGGGATCACCATGCCTCTGTACAGTCTGTTTACTTTCCCAACATATGCCGGTACCCATTTATACTATTGGGTAGAGAGGGACAAACAAATAAAATGTATTCTTGCACAGTAAGGGCTCAAACCCTTGACCACAATGCTGAGAGTATCAAACAAATGAATGAAGCCAAATTGCTTCACTTCTAAACTAAAAAGAAAAGAATATAATGAATGCATTAAGAGTATTACGGTATAAGAACATGAAAGACAAGACATAGAAAAAGATAAAAAATGCATATTGAATTAACGAAACTTTAAAACAATTGCAGTTATTTTCATTTCAATTTGTCTTCTAAAACTTGAGCTCCTTTAAAGTCTGCCTTTTGTAGTACCTTCATCATAGGTGTCATTGCTTCCTTAATGCTACTCTTTACAGAATCACTTCCACAATCCAACAGGCTGAAAGCAAATGCACACATAACAGTAAAACAACAAATCTAAATAAAATTCATTACAACAACCACCAAAACCACCTGTGGGTCAACTCCCTACAATGTTCTGAGGACAACCACATACAATCCACTTAGCAAATATTATATCAGAGACAGATTCACCTGGAGCACTGTGTGCATGGTGTAATCTAAAAATCCATGTGCTTACACTCTGTGTTTCTTTTCAAAGCATAGACCTAATGGTATAGAGATTAACATATGGACTTCAATAAAATGATGTTTACTCACAAAACGAGAATGAATGCTCCCCTGTTAATGCTACTCCATGTCACTATCTTCTCTGTACCCACTTTCTCAACCAACATATCACTAAAATCTGAAAGTAATTATGAACAATTTTGAATATTTATTAAAGAAAGTAGATCCAACCATGTATTGATTGCTGTAGTATGACCATGAATTCATATAAAACATGAAATGAAATAATGAACAAATATCATTACTTAAAATCCTATTTATTCAATGACTTACAATCATGGAATATACTGTAATTAACAATTATCATTTCAAAAAAATTATAATAAAACCAAGTACAGGTCATCCTCCAATTAAAGACCATTTCTGGGACTGGGGTTTCCATGGTCTTGAGCATATCTGGTCTCTAATGAGAATAATAAAGATGAAAGATATTTGTTAATTTGGGGCTGCAGAACAGTGGTCTATAATTGGAGGAGTCTTTAATTAGAGGGAGACCAATATAATTAAAAGGTAGTATCTTATAAAAAAAAGGTATATCATTCAGCAATCATATACTTCCAAAACAGAGTTATACTGTATATAATGAAGGTGAATAATGCATGCATGTAAGGGTAATTCCATGTCAAATCAACCAAAAAACAAACCATCAATTTCTCATGGGTTGGGACCCATGAGAAACAATCAGAAATGAAAATTTTTGCTCTAGGCCTCTCAATTAGTGAGATACGTGCATACGAAGTTTGGACTAATTAGCGATACTTTGCACGTTTAACTGACCATATCTCAGTATAGCACCTACTGACCTGGTTTTGGTGTCATTTTAAAGTTATTGAGTAGCTCTATTACTTTATACATAAATGTTAACTCCTTAACTCATAAAAGTTGAATAAAAAATCTTTTATTTTTTTTTTTCAAAATCATGTTTGAGGTATATTAAAATGTAAAGAAGCTTCCCTATAAGTTTGGTGATAGGCACTCTAATAACGTTCTTGACCAGTGAGCAATTATATATCAGAATCACAAGTCCGTTCAAAATTGCACATTTTTATATATATCAACAATGTACTTCTGTATAGTAAAAAACAACACTAAATCAAACTGATATTTCTTTTATGCAGGTAATTTCAAGGTTGAAATTCCTTCAGAAATAGGCAAGTCGAATGACCAAATGGTTAAGGCAGAGGCGCACAAACCTACAGGTTCAAGCGACGCACTTGTCATGGTTCTTTTCTGATAAAGACTACCACCATAGGCCCAGTGAACACAATTGGCAGTTAAATTTATTAATAATTGTCAGGGCAAGAAAAACTCAATTGGTTTGGATATATCTACAGGAATAGCAGCACATTAAGCAATATACAATCTTGCAGGGGCATGTAAATGCAAAACAGAAGAAAGGAAGACCTAGAAGAAATTGGGTGAACAACATTAATGGGTGATGTGGTAAATAGCGACAGTTGCATCAGTGCTCCCATAACCTGACACCCAACAGGTTATAGAACAGATGATGATGATGATGATGATGATGTGAATCATTCAAATGCAGACCATATTTTACTTACTCTATACAAATAATAATGTATTTAAATCACAGTTTAACATCGTTATTGGTGTAGGTTTAAGAAGAGTTTTTATTTGGGATGAACCTTCAATAGAGTAAAAGAAACCCAAATATAAATAGAGTAGAGACAATAAAGCCAGCATACCAATGTATCCCCTAACACTTAGTGTAAACAAATCCTAGGCATTGTTCAGTATAAATATCTTGTATTAACATTTATCTACAGGTCAATGTCCCATCCCACAATTCTCGTCTGCTTGCACAAAGGGTGGCATGACATTCAATAAGAACAATATAAAACCATTAAGCATTTTTCTATTTAAAAAAACATAGCATACTGTCAGATTTCAGCGGTATACTATTGGTATAATTGGTATAATAATAACTTAAATAATTATTGAATCTTTGTTTACTTTTTCAAGATCCCACAGTGGAAGAAGCTACTTCTGGTAGATCTAGTTAATGGGCTTTCTTAACGCATTTAACTATTTTTATTTATTAGATAGTAATAGTATTTTAATTTCTTAGTTTCAACATTTGAGTAACCAACCTGAATTCTGTGTTTCTTTGTCTTGTTGAATAAGTTTCTTCAACACAATATGTCCAGCAGGGTGTTCAACAATATGCATCTGTTACACACAAATAGCATTATACAAATACAGATTATCAAAATAATAATAAAAAAAAAGTAGTTCAGCATATCTGTAGCTTATTGTAATTTATATAATACTACTAATGAAACAATATTTGTTACCACTGACTGACTGTTTTATTGCTTCTTCCCACCGCACAAAGTATACAGAATATTTTATAAATACTACACACAAGAATACAAATCAAAAGTAAAAAATAGATGCGATAATAAAAAAAAAACGTGTGTGGATTGCAACTATGTTACTTGTTACGTGTTGCTTATATAGTGCTTTTCCTTTCAGTTACCAAGTGCTGTAAGTTTTTCCTTGGTCATTGAGTCCACATGCTTAAGTGTTGCCGTTGGCAATCAGCGCAGGAGCAGGCAACCCCACGAAGTACCCATTTATACTCCTGGGTGGAGAGAAGCAATGAAGATAGAGTGCCTTGCTTATGGACACAAGGGGAATGCACAGCGAGGGATTGAAACCCTCACCGTGAGGCTGGGAAACCAAACCGTTCCTGCTGTGCCAAAGCGCTTCTTGTATGAGAACAGTTCACTGATTATTTAGGGCTCAGATATTGGTCTGTTAATTAGTATATTTCCTAGGATTTTGCATATAAATTTTATAAAAACAATTTTATATTTATTTTATTAATAAAATTTCTATTTCTTTATTCTAAGCCTCTCAATTGTGAACTTTTGTTTTTGTTTTTCTTTATTCATCCACAAGTCCATGTCATGCAACAAAATACAAATAAATTTAATACCATGTTCACTGTTATCTAAAAGGAGCCATTCTGCACCTTATGTTGCCGAGTAACTCCCCTCAGAATATAACATTGTAATGGTGAAATGGATCAGATTTAGGATCCAGGAATTTGAAATAGAGGGTGCCCAGGTAAAACTTTCACAGATGGAGAGTTTAGACCATATCCCCCCATGGCTAGGGATGATTTATGATTATGGCACTCCTAGATGGCTGGAAATGGCACTTGCAGACTGAACTTGAATATAATTTCTTTCTTTCACCATTAAAAAAAAAAAAATTGAAAATTTCAGTGGGAGCCAGGGCTGGCTGGGCCCCCTTGAATTAACCTATGTTCAATTTTACTTTTTGCTGTATATGACCTAACATGTTACAATTAGGATCTTTAAGACAATGATTAAAATAGTTAATAACAATTTAATTTAATTGATATAATCAACAGTACCTGGCACAATACATTGAAATAAATGATTTAAATCTTACTTTATCCAGTGCATTTGTTAAGTCCCTATCAATGGCTACTAAGTCTTCTGATGCCAAATTACAGATAGCTTCCATAGCTAGCTTCTTATCACCTGTAAAAATTATAAATATCTTAATTGCCTTGATTTATAAGTTACATGGATATGCCTGAAGGTTTTCCATGACAATAGAAGACAAGTTATAAAAGCCCACCAATTCTATGTACATCATGTCTCATGATAGACTATACTTACAGAGGCAGATTCAGGGAAAAGGCAAAAGAAACACTGAGCCTCAAAAATTGTTGAAAATTGTATTCAAATTAATTTTTAAAATACCTTTCCCAGCCATCCAGAGGTGCTATTGACAGAAAATGTCATACCTCAGCCTACACCATGATGGGACTGAGGTAGTCTGGGCCCAAAATTAGTAAACTTCCCTCCCAGGGCCCCCTTACTTTCATATTTCTAGATCTGCCACCGACTTACCAACAGCATTCTGGAAAATAGCAGTTACAAGAAGACATGTTTGTTTGTTGCGGACAAGTTCTCTAGCATGACTCTGAACATGTTCTAGCAAAGGCTTACTGACAGCTTCTAGTACCTCCTGCCTCCTGGTGTTCAAATCTTTTTTACTGCAACACAAAAATTATATATTTGTGTTTCAGAATACACATTTGATAAATACTGCCAATACACACACTTTGTCTTTGTTTATTATTATTATTATTATTATACTAACCTAGTTGCATTTTCATCTCCCTTCTTGAGCAGGGTAA